CCAAAGAATTTATGACAAAGACCTCAAAGGCAGATACAGCAACAATAAAAATAAATAAATGGGACTTAATTAAATTAAAAAGCTTCTGCACAGCAAAGGAAATAATCAACGGAGTGAATAGACAACCTACAGAATGGAAGAAAATATTCACAAACTATATATCCAACAAAGGACTAATAACCAGAATCTACAAAGAACTTGAACAAATTAGCAAGAAAAAAACAAGTAGCCCCATCAATAAGTGGGCAAAAGACATGAACAGAGAGAAAAGAATGCTTATATACTGTTGGTGAGCCTGCAAATTAGTACAACCTCTGTGGAAAACAGTATAGAGATTCCTCAAAGAAATAAATGCAGACCTACCATTTGATCCAGCAATCTCACTGCTAGGTATCTACCCAACGGAAAAGAAGTCATTTTATAAAAGAGACACCTGCACTTGAATGTTTATTGCAGCACAATTCACAATTGCAAAGATGTGGAACCAACCTAAGTGCCCATCAATTCCTAAGTGGATAAAGAAAATGTGGTGTATATATACACCACAGTACTACTCAGCCATAAAAAGGAATGAAATAATGTCCTTTGCAGCAACTTGTATGGAACTAGAGACCATAATCCTAAGTGAAATATCTCAGTAATGGAAAGCCAAACACCATATGTTCTCACTAATAAGTGGGAGCTAAACTATGGGTACACATGTGCATAAAGAGATATAAAAGACATTGGAAACCAAGAAGGAGGGGTGGGAGGGGAGATGTGGGATAAAAACTTACCTATTGGGTACATGAACACTATTCTGGTGACAGACACACCAAAAGCCCTGACTTCCATGTAACAAAAACATTCGTACTCACTTATTATTTTGAAATAAAAAAAGAAAGAAATTGTGGTACATATACACAGTGGAATATTATATACTAATAGGTATAAAAAAGAATGAAATACTGTCATTTGCAGCAGAATGGATGGAACAGGAGAACATTATAAGTGAAATTAGTCAAGCACAGTAAAGACAAATCTTGCATGTTCTCACATATATATGGGAGCTAAAAATTAAGACAATTGATGTCATGAAGACAGAGAGTAGAATGATGGTTACCAGAGGCTGGGAAGGGTAGCAGAGGGATGGGGATAAAGGTGGATGGTTAATGGG